TGTACGCGCGTATGTTATTATGAAATATTTCTGCATTTTCAGCTTGAAACCATAGAAAGTTATCAAAGCCTAAAATGCAATGATATTTCTTAACAATTGTGTTTACTACAATCTCAACCTTAATTATATATATATTATATAATTATATTATATAAATTAATATATAATTTTATGAATTAATAATTTTTTTTATAACAAAACAATTTGTAGGTTTTCAGTACCGAAACAGCCATTAATAAAAATTTTAATCTAATTGTTAAAAATGATATTTTTATGATTTTGGTCGTCGAGTTAGCTCAGTCGGTATGTCTAGCGCTGCTATCACGCGATGGCATGGCTCGAGTACTGTCTAAAATTAAAAGGTTAAAGGTCAATCACACTCTTCCAAAGTTCAGAGGATTCAACAAAGCGCACAAACATCGTAAATGAATACGTGCTAAACGACGCATCACACAAGAAGCATGTGATAGGCGAGGATCTTTTTGTCATATTCAAACCCGGTTACTGGGAAACAGCACCAGGCGATCTTAACCATTAGACCATCACGCCGCCCTTTTCAAACGCGTAGGATGATGTCCTTGCGCATGCCCACCTGATGCGTAGCCTACTGTATGTGCGTAAAACAGCCTTATGGCATGAATGTTTAATATAAGTATAGAAATGGATTGACATGCAAGCACCACTGCGTTTGACGTAGATGAATTATGAAGAGTAAAAAAATATTTACGACGCGGTATTTGAGAAAAGTATATATTACATTTTTGAGGTTGGCTAATTCTTTTTATTTATTTATGTTTGACAAAATTAAGCTTATTACTTTTTTTATATTTTTACTTATTACTTCTTGATAATGATTATTATTATGTTTTTATAAAACGCCAACTATTTATAATTTTCTTCTAAATTTATCTAACTACTTCTGAATCTTTTCCATATTTATTCAAACTACTTTTCTTCAGTTCACAAAGATTGTTAACTGTACGTCGTATATACAATTTGTTACTTATTCTCTAGATTTAGGTTTTACTAATCAGTAAGATTTAACATTAAAATAATAAGATATTAATATAAAAATTAAAAAAGAACGTTATCATTGCTTGAGTGAAAAATAATTTGTGAGAATATAATTCATATTACATATTAATTGAGAACAGTCCCTGAAATCTTACAATGTTATTAATGAGATCATTTTCTTTCAGTAACTGAGACAGATGATAAGCTCCAACAGGACCAACGTTATTAAAAGATATGTCAAGAGATTTTACAGACAAATTTTCCTGTATAAAATTTTTATTGATAAATAAGCGATGTAAGTAAATTCAAATAAAAATATTCACAGAAAGTAGGAAACAAACGGCATGAAATTCATCACAATCAACTCCAATATTAGTGAGATTAACTGAAGTTTCATTAAGCTGAGAGAGAAATGCATTATTTGGAATCAGGCCAGCATTACGGCAATAATTCATGTAATCAATCTGTATACCATCTAAACTCCTTACACAATCTGTCGACAGTTTAATTAATATAATAGTCGGTACATGAAAGGTAGTTTATATTATATTATACCATTTTCACTTCCAAGATTAGTAATTAAGTAGGCATTCTCATCGAAAGCATCGTGTTCTGAATAATCAATTACATGAGAAAATACGTTGTTATATGGTTCAGGCCAATTAAGATCTGGAAATGTACTAAAAAATATATATAATTACATTCCTAATAATGTAAAAAAAAATAATTAAAAATACTTGGATTGATGCAAAATTGTATCCTTGAGTGGTTTCTTATATAATTGATCAATGATATCACTGGCAACTACTTCAACCAATCTATCTGCTCCAAAGTTTGAATTGCTGCATTCTTTTGGGCCAACAGACATGATCGAAAATTTCGCTCAAATATAAACCAAAATTTTTTCCTGTAGCAAAAAGAGAAACTAAATTAATAATTGTTTGGCAGCCAGATGGTGCAATGGTTACTGTGCCTGATCCAGCCATTAATTAGAAATTGACTGGGTTTAAATGCTAAGATTTCCCATCTATCACAAACCAGATGGAAGTGTGTGTTATGCTTAGATTCATGCATATTCACATGTCTTATGCATGCATTGTGTATAGTATTATATAGTATACACTGTATACCTAAATATCTGAGTGATGAAGTATTTTTTGTAGTATAAGTATCCTTCACAAAAATTGATCAGTTAGTGTTAGGTTGAGAACTATGTGCCAATTGTTTGACACTGGCTTTTTTAATTAAAAGGTGTGGACATACATCAAAAATGTTAAATTTTAATTTAAACGTTTTAAATTTAAACTTTTAATTAAAAAACTAAAACATTCATAAAAAAAATTTAAAGATTATTGTTTACTTTGTTTTATCATATAACTCTTGCCAAAAACCTGATAAGCTCAGAACACAAAAATCAAGCGACGATGTTTTTTGGAATATGAATTGAAGGTTTGTTTTATTGATATTTTAAAATTTAAATTAAATAATTTTTAAAATGTTTGTTTGATAATACTATAATAATAGAATAGTTGAACTAATTAAATATAAAATATATTATAAATTCATAATTTTTAAATATAAATATATAAAACTAAAATAAAATCAATAATTGAACAAAGTTCATCACCAAAATGTAATATTTCAATGAAAACCTTATCTGAAAACTTCAACCTAGCCAGGACTCGCTCTCAAAGAATTTAAAAAACTTAAACTTAAACAAAACGACAAACCGAAACTTGAACCAAAGAAATTGTAAATTTTATCAAAATTTAACGCTAGAATTTTATAAATTTTATTGAGAAAATTTTAATTATTGAAAATGGATATAATTATTGAATTGGATTGAGTAAAATTGCGTCACCGAATAAAAATAAAGTCTGGAACAATTTTAATAAACAAGTTTATTATTTCATTCTATTACAATTATTATATATTTTATTGTGTCATATATTGTTATTATAAAATATTTTTATTTATAAAACATCATCCAATTCAACTAAAAAAACTAAAAAAGAGGCATACAGTCATACAGATAGCCTGACCATGCTGGAACGCCGAAAAAATGGACAACAATATTTCAATCAATTTTTTCTATTATCAGATGACAAAGTATTAAAAGAATCATTCACGGTTTTATTTGCATAAATCATTTTTATTAATATTGGTTATTGGTAAAGCAAAAGATATCTTGATATACATAATGACATACATAATTTGGAGTGCAGAGGCAAATTACCTTAAAATTTACCTATTGCGAATAAGGTGCCAAGTTTCTGGTGCAACAAGAAACTCACATTGAAATAGATGACCCCGTTGTAAATGAAGCTTCAAGGGGGTGTCTACGAGCATATCTATCGCCATCAGAAAGTTTGCATGTCTAACCATCAGAATTTACAAGAAATTTATTGAAACAGAAGTAAACAGTGAACTTTTTATATGAAAATCTAATCCCATAATAACCCGGCTTATAAGTATATCTTTTCAACAACTTTAAACGGGACTAAATAAATCAAATGCTATAGTTTTTTGTTGAAAAATTAAAAAAAAAACATCGAAAAATTATAAAAGAAGCAGAAATATTTCAGGATTTACCCTTAGATGTAGCCCTTTATAATAACATTCAAAATAGATATCTCAATCAGCAACTATAATAAAAGTCTAAACTTTTGCAAACATAAGTCCAACGAGACAACAGAAAACCACCAGTATGTGCACTGTGCAGTCATTTCATAGATGGCTTAACAGCGACAGCTTTACTTTCTGACCATAAACAAACAGCTCCAACACCTCCCTTTTTATTCATCTATACTTCTGAAATACCTCGTATTATTTATCTAGAATCAATTATCGTAACTCGCTCTACTATAGTATTTCTGATTCTAGACTCTATCCTTTAAGTCAGGGGTGGGCAAATGTTTTGCTGTGAGGACTGCATTGAAAATTATTTTACTTTTGAAGGACCGCATATGTACTTGAATAACAAATGTTTTTGATCTGGGAGAATTTTTTAAGATTTGTGGTTTTTTTTTGTTCATATACGAAGTTCAGAGCAGATCTCAAGACCCATCTGTTCGCAAAATTTATGGAGGAGCGCTGTTGAACATCGCGGAAATAGCGCTTTACAAACTAATTGAACATTTTGTCATATTAAAAAAACTAAAAAAGAGTCAAAAATAAATAAATTATTAATGCTGCAATGATACACAGAGGAATAAATACTATTTCTTAAATGAACTAAGAAGACTCAATTATCTAATTTTTTTACTGATTCCATAGAAAATACAACGACTGATCGATTGACTTTCAACAAAATTTTAAACAAAGCATCTGCGAATTACTTTATTTTTGTAGCTGCTGTTACCTAACGACACCACTTACACTATGTAATTTTTCAACTGCCGGCTTCAGCAATCTCACGTTCTATATTTGCATCTTGACTTTCTTGAAGTCGTTTCAATCGTTGTCGGAAGATTTTTGCAAAAACCTACTTCCACCCTTCAAAAAATCTTGTAACTAATCACAAAAAGACATGCTATCAGTTGCGGCCGATATATTGTGTTTCTCCTAACCTTATCTAGCTCTATACACCTCCTGTTATCTTTAAAATACTGTGCAAGCACATATTCCTATCTTCATTTCGTCACAAACCTTCCTAAGCTTTGACAATAACGAGTACACTGCTACATAAAAGCGCGATCACAAATTTATCAACTTTGTTATGCGATTGATTTATAGCTACCAATTGAACTATACTAAGACATTACGAACTTCCAATTTTATTCAATTCTGTCCAAATTCGTTTTAAATTAAAAATAGACCTGCTAATTTAAAATAGACCTGTTAATTGCAAAAATTTGTTTTACAAAAATTGGAAAAATGTTTATAATTGTACAGAGCATTTGATGAAAATGTAACGAAATAAATGAGCATTTGCTAAATAAAAATTTATTATTTGATTCAAATCCAAGTTATTGCTTTTTAGAAGATCATTCCATAAAACATGTATCATTAACACATTTTTCTGAAAAACCCCCTTTTTTGAATCGAATCAGGTCTCCCCACAGAATGCTTCGAAAACATTTTGGACAAGTACCATCAACTGGCAATAGATGTTTGGTCAACTTTGTTGTTCTGTCAGATGTTTGCGCATTTAAAATAGTGTCTGCCAAGCACATTGTATGGTACGACGTATTGCAATGGAAACACGAGATGGTATTGTCGTTTTCCTGAAAGAATTATAATGTCTAAGCACATAACAACAATTTCAAATTTTGATGCTAACATTAAAACAGTGCAAACACAATACACACTGTTGAGTTTTAAACTCTGTAACGTGATTTTCTTCCGCCTCTACTTTCCGTCTAACATTTTTCACAGGTCCATGTTCAATAGCCATATGAAGAGGAGGTTCAACGTTAATACTGAACTCTCTCTGTAAATATTGAATGTAAACATGTCAAAACAGTAAAATTTCAATCAAAAATAAACTAATTTAAAAAAATATAATTCTTACTTTGTACTCCTGCTTTAGCCAACGAATAGTCAATGGAAGTCTATTCCACGGTCCAGTGTTAACCATGTGACATAACACATTAATGCAATAATCGTATTTTTTATCAGCAGCTTTTTTATTTGGCAAATTCTTTAATCTTCTTGATAATTTCGGTTTTGTCCAAGCCCACTCGAACTTATAAAAATATAAAGAATGTAAAAAATTTCAGAATCACGCAATTTAATAAAAATTTCGTTTTGATTCATTTCAATAAAATATAATTTTCATCTTGAAACAATTTGGTTGCAAAAGCAAAAAAAATTAAAAAAGCGTACTAATGAAATATAACAAGAGGCAAAAATATAACGTACAGCCCAACACATTTGCTCGCGACAAATTGAATATTTTGTAATTACTTTCAAACACTTAATTCAATAAGTTTTCAAATTAATTATTATATTAGTGTCGTGTTCAACGAGTTTATCCTACTCTTCATGTCTGTTGCCATGCACTAAATGGTAATAACTTGGTTTTACTTTTAGTTAATCTAATATCATTTTGAAAAACCCAACAAAGGACTTCAATAAGCATCTATTTTTAGCCAGTCTTTCCCCTAAACAATCAAACGAGCTACTTGACTCAAGCATATGAAAAACCTTATATATCATAGCCCTCAATCACATCAAAAAATGTCAGCAGTGTAGATTGAAAACAAGTGGACGAAACACCGATCCCTAAAAGATTCTAGATAACACCTTTTCTTTACTGGAGTAATCATGATCCAAAAATAATTGTCGCGATCTGTCACTAAGTTATGATTTAATAAAAGACAAGGCTGATATATACGCCGCTATAGCTATCGCTACTTAAATGAAAAAGTAGTGACAAAATTGCTTTTATCGAACTATTTCTTAAAATGTTTCACCACTTATTCCCTTTTGATTTGAATCTCCTACTTTATTGTTAGTGCGTTAAAAATTAAATCGAATGTCATGAATATTTGCAATTTCACGACAGAAAATATTATTACACTAATGATTTTGCTATTCGAAGTTGAAATTTAATGTTTTGTACTTGTTTTGTTTTCAACATTCAAATCCTATATTTGTTCAAATTGGCTGATAGCCTGTTAAAGCGTGTTATAACCACATAACAAAACTACACGTTAAAGTTAAAACCACCTGCTAAAGTTGAATAAACCGACTTGTTAGAGTTAAAACATCATGCTAAAATTTAATAAAACCACGTGCTAAAGTTAAAACTATGGATTTTTTTACGGAATACAATGAAAAACAAGCCACTTAAGTTGCAAAATAACAAAAAGGAAGATTATAGCAGTAAACAGATATAGAGCAAAACAACGCCACTTAATCTAAGTTTCTTTGAGAGATTATAAGATTATTAAATATTTCGCACGATACCGATACTGAAAAAGTCGCTACTCAGCTATTAACAACCCTGATACACACACACACACAACACACACACCCACACACACATATATATTGTTATATATTGTTTAATTGAGAATATATATATATATATATGTATATATATATATATATATATATATTGTTTAATAGAGAAATAAATTGTATTACTATAATTTATTTCAATTTAAAAAAAATTACGTCGCAAAAGATGCTTAATGGAAAACCCTAATAAACATGTTCGAACAAAATAATATATTAAGTTTACTCCTTTTCATGCTTCCATAGAATTCTTTAAAAACGAGTAGAAAGATGCTTTAAAATTCTGTCGTTTGAATTGTATAATTACAGAAAATTTTGTAACTAGAACATTAATAACATTATGTATAAAAACATTGATTACGATATGAATGCAATTAGATACTTTCTTGAAAGAGCTATTACTGAAAGGTGTTAAATGAAAGCAAATCAAACCTGAAGTGCAGATATCATATTAGGGAAACCATGAACAATTAAAACCATCTCCCTGACGTGAAAAAAATTGTAAAACCTTGAAAAATCTTAAAATTCAACTTAAATTTTGTTACATTCAATTTTTAACTTAATTTGATTAGAATAAATTTAGCTTTACATACCTCGTGCGCGCACGCACACACACACACACACACACACACACACACATATATATATATATATATACACACATACATATATAATATACATATTTAATATACATATTTAATTGCCAATTTCATTTGTATCGTATAAAGTTATATGTTCTATTTATCTCGCAGTCTTTTGGCCGTGGGTTTAATTATGTTGGAGGGATGTAAGTAGAGATGGGAATCGAACCGAACCCGAACCGAACGAACCGAACTCGAACCCTACTTGTGACCAAACCGAACCGAACCCGAACTCTGGGCACGACTGAACCGAACCGTACCCGAACTTTGCTCATGGCCGAACAGAACCCGAACTTTAAAACTGCCGATTACGAACCGAACAGAACGAACCTTTCTAATGTTATCCAAACATCATTAGTCTGAAAATTATTGTTGTACTAATGATGGAAGTAGGTGCATGCATTATCGACAGTCCAAATATTACAAATGACCGACAGCCAATGTATGTGTGATTAAATATAAATTAATTTTATACTTTTTGGTACGAAGAAAAGAAAGGCGCGATCACCATGACTAATTTGTCACACATTTTTCTTGTATTTTTCTTTATTGTCTTGTTTCATTGCATGAATTCGGAAGAACTATTGTAGCATTTAATTGCGTTTTTTTTATAGGAAGAGCGAACTTACCAGTTAACGAACTTAGCATTGTACACTTGAAAATAATTTAGAAATATGAGTAGCAATAATAATAATAATTAATAATAATAATAATTGTAATAGTAATAATAAAAATAAAGAAAAACAAATTTGTAAAAAATGGACTACAAAGATGGATTTGGAGAAATTAATAACAGAAGGATCAGCTCGACAGGTACCTGCGACATGGACCAAGAGTGAATGTTGGACAAGCTTTCGTTGTATTGAACTTGACGATGAGGTTAGCGTTAGACGTTAAAAATTAGTTTTAGGTTACGTACGTTATTTTTGGCTTTTATAATGGTTATTAAAATTACTATAAAAATTGACTTTAGGATTTTTGTAATTACCGACTTTAATGTCAATCTATGTAAAATGATTTTAGACTAACTCTTTTAGCATTTTAAATTTATGGTATTTCATCTAAAAGATTGTCAAGAAGTTTGCCGTTTGTAGACGTTGTGGAATATGGTTTTCAGTGCCAATTGGTCATACTACAACTCTACAAAGACACATTTTATCACACACAAAGACAATCAACACAGAGCCTGGGCAATTTAAAATGACGAACTTTTTGCCTAAAAAGAAAGAGGTAGGTCAATAATAATAACATTATTCAAGTTATTAATTTCAATTAGAAATTTTAAAGATGCTGAATAGAATAAGTTAATGCAGTGGTTCTCAACCTGTGGTCCGCGGACCACTGGTGGTCCGCGGCCACCTGCTTGGTGGTCCGCAAGCAGAGTCTAAAATTGCGCTTTTTAAATTAAAAACATACAAAAACAAATATATATTTTTGTTTTTTTTTAATTTCATTCAATTTCGATGGCCGCAGGAAACTAATAATGACAAAATTTTCTTACTATTAATCTGGTTAATTTTGTTTGTTTTAATCGCTAGATAGCACTAAAATTGTTGCAACATAAGAAATTCGTTTTAAATTATGTTTACTTTTAATCACACCACCGGAAATCTCACGTCTGCTTGTTGACATTTTAGCATTTCAAGTATTTCAAGTTTAAATTTTAAAGACCTTATAAAAATTATAGTACATGTACAAATAATTAAATTTAAAAAAATAAATGGATAAATTTCTAACCAAAAAAACAAACGAACAAAATCAAAACGATGATAGTTCCTCTGACTCGAGTGGCTGTGAAACAACTGAAGTTCTGAGGAAAAAAAGACGAACAACCGTACGACGATATGATGAAAAATACTTGCGTTTTGGATTTATGTGTCACAGTAAATGATCAACCTAAACCACAGTGTGTAATATGCTCACAAACTCTTTCAAATGAAGCAATGAAACCTGCAAAACTCCAAAGACATCTTAAAACTAATCACCCTGATTGCTCAAAAAAACCACTTGAATATTTTATGCGTAAGAAACAGTCACTTGCTAGTCAGAAGGAATGCATCTCAAAAGCAACAAAAGTCAACGAGAAAGCTTTAAGAGCATCATTCTTAGTGGCTACTCAAATTGCAAAAGCGAGAAAACCACACACAATTGCCGAGACTCTAATAATGCCTGCTGCTATAGATATGTGTCGAGAAATATTTGGCGAAGCCATAGCAAGTAAACTAAAAACAATTCCAGTTTCAAATGACACAATTCAACGACGTATTACTTTGGCAGCAGGTGATGTTAAAGAACAATTAATTTCCAGACTACAAGATTACAGACTACAACTGTAAAAAATTTGCAGTTCAATTGGATGAATCGACAGATGTGTCTGGCCAGGCACAATTATTGGCTTATGTGAGATATATTTGGGTGGATGAAGTTGAAGAAGATTTGTTGTTTTGTAAAACTTGCCGGGTCATACAACAAGCGCAGAACTTTTTGCAATCCTTGATAATTTCATGACATTCAATGGCATCGAATGGCAATGGTGTGTTGGAGTGTGCACTGATGGTGCAGCAGCAATGACAGGAAGACAAACTGGCTTGTGGGAACGTGTACGTGAAAATGTGCCAACTGCCAAATTTACTCACTGTATGATTCATAAGGAAAGTCTTGCATGTAAAAAAATGAGTGCCGAGTTAAAGTCTTTTAATCAGGCTATAAAAATTGTTAATTTCATCAAGACACGTCCACTGAATTCTCGCCTCTTTGCTGCCTTGTGTTTAGATATGGAGCTGGAACATGAACAGTTACTGATGTATACTGAAGTTCGCTGGTTATCGAGGGGGAAAGTTTTTAACAGACTCTATGAATTGCGTGATGCTTTGAAAGAGTTTCTTGAAGAAAAAAATCCCCAACTTGTAGCTTATTTGAATGACAATTCATGGGTTGCTACTCTGGCTTATTTGGCTGATATTTTTGAACAGCTAAATAAACTGAATTCATCTATGCAAGGGAAACAGACAAACTTAATCACGCTCAGTGATAAAGTATCGGCTTTTATTAGAAAACTTGATCTTTGGAAGCGAAAAATTTTGGAAGGTAACTTTGACATGTTTGATCAATTACACGAATTTACTGAGAAACCAGAAAATGCTGAGATTGATAAAACAAAATTGATAAATTTAATTTCTGGACATATTCAATCATTGCTGGATCAATTCCACATCTGCTTTGGTGATATAAACATTCAGAATTTTTTGTGGGTATCCAGTCCGTTTCTTGTAAAAGCTGATTCATTAAATCTGCCAACATCAGAATTAAACCAATTCATTGACCTCACCAGTGATTCTACATTGAAAATTTTCCAAAAAACAGTGAGCTTGATGAAGTTTTGGATTCAAGTTTCACATGAATATCCAGAACTGTCTGAGCAAGCTTTTAAAATTATTTTACCTTTTGCGACATCATATCTTTGTGAATGTGGATTCTCTGCACTAGTTTCAATTAAGACAAAATATTATTCACGATTTGATGTTGAAGATGATCTACGTTTGAGTCTTTCAAGCATTACACCTCGTGTGGATAAACTGTGCTCAAATATGCAAGCTCAAGGCTCACATTAAAATAATTTAAATTTTTTTTCTAATTAATAATAATCACTTTTTTGTAACCAAATTCTGACATGTATGCATAAATTTCAAATGAACATTGTACATTTCAAAGTTGTTTTTGTTTTTTGATTCGGGCAAAAACACACAATTTTCAGTGGTGGTCCGCAACTGAGACAGGAACTTTATAAGTGGTCCACGTCACTGAAAAGGTTGAGAACCGCTGAGTTAATGTATTACTATTTTTAAGAAATATATGCTAGTTGCTGTTTTTTAGTAGAAAGTAGTCATTTCATTAATTTTGGTGAAAAGTCTTGTACAAAATACATAATCAATGTATGGTATGCTTAAAATATTACATTACAGTTTTTCTTTTATAGTTTCAAAATCAAAACATATTTTTAATTGATGAATATAATTTGAAAAAATAAATTTTCAGATACCTAAACGTATCTGTCAAAAAGCAGAACGTGCAGCTCTCTACATGATTGCGGAAAATATTCAGCCTTTTTCAAGTATACAAAACACTGGTCTTAGTAACTTTGCACAAACAATGATTGATATTGGGTCAAATTATGGGTCGGTGCAATATCAAGATTTAATGTGTGATCGTACAACTTTATCCAAGTCATTACTGCCAAAGTTATACAATGAATGTATTCAACAACTAAAAGAACTTTCTCTGGTTACTTATGTAGCAATAACTACTGACCACTGGACTAATGATCTACTGAAACATTCTTATTAGGCGTTTACAGTCCATTATATTAACAGAAGTTATTGCCTCATAAGCAAATGCATTGGATTATTTGAGTTTACGAAATCTTAAACTGGTTTTGTATTAAAACTAAGACTACAAAAATACTCAAAAATCTTTTTCCAGAGTATATATTAAATGAAAATCTGGTATTTGTGACTGACAACGGAAGCAATATGAAATCAGCTTACCGTAATGATGTCAGAATTAGTTGTGCTGGTCATAACCTGAACTTAGCTGTTGAAAAAGCTCTAAAATCACCTGGTGTTGAATTGGTTCTTGACATGATAAAGGTTTCAAAAGAAGTGGTGGGATACTTTAAGCACAGCGGAAAAAACCAAGAATTAGAACATACTCTTAAACAAGATGTAAGCACACGTTGGAATAGCCAGTTTTTTCTTTTGCAATCATTGTCAAGTCAGCTTGATCATGTGAAGTCTCTTCTTGCTGATGCAAAGCAGTTTGATAAACTTGAACAATTAAACAATAT